TCTTATGAAAATCTAACACAACTATTCAAACAAAAATTTCTTTTCCAAAATTATTTGTAATAATAAAAAGACTAGAAAAATGTTTTAAAAGTAGATATAATAGGCTAAAATATTTTCTAGGTTCATGCAAAGAATAATACTATTTTAGAAATAAGGTAGATTTATATATACTAATAGCAAAAAGGCACAAGGAAACATACCTGTCACAATAGGTATGCAGAATTAAATGTTAAACTGTCCTACTACTCTAATGGCAAGCCTCTGAATCAGTCTAATCAAAGAGCACACTAATAAAAAGCATGGTATTTAAAAACCATGGATTTGGAACTTACCATTTAAATGAATCAAGACTTTCTTAATACTGTTCAAAACAAAACCAAAACCAGAAATAAACCAACTGATATTGTAGAAATTATGCAATCAGTGAATCAGGATGTTTAAATGCACCATTATTTACTCTTACTTTAAGAAAGTAATCAATTTAGTCCAAAGATCCTGCCAAGATATGAGTTCAAAAAGAATTATTTACATGGAATTTGTAAAACAAATGTAATAATTGGTGAAACCCCCTTTCCTTTTGAATACGTAATTAGTAAAATTCTGGAAATAAGGAAAGCTACAATTATTAGTGTCTGGGAATGAAAAATAAGCTGATTCTATCAAATATAATGTTGGTCATCTTCAGAAGGTCTTCCTATTCTTATCTGACTATGCTCCAATAAATGTATCTGTTGCTTTCTTAAACATTTTTAATGCACTAACTCTGTCTTTCTAGGTTATCCCATGACATCTTATTCCAATTCCTATTCACAGAATAGATGTATTATTTAACCTCAGTCATTATTTTCAGCACTTAGGGAAATGGCAATAAATACCAATTTCCTACCTTTTTAGAGTTTTTTGAATTCTGGTGAGGTTTATGCTCTACAAAGGAGTAAGCTTATTAGGAATCTGGTTCTCTTCAGGTTCAAAATGATGATCAATGTACTAGATAGATAATAGTGAAAATAACATGGGAAAGTATAGGTTGGATTGCCTATTACATTAAAGGAACCTTCTGCAGTAAGTTTAAGAAAGAAAATCATAAAACTTTAGGGGCTGGGGTTGTGGCTCAGTGGTAGAGCACTTGACTATCATCTGTGAGGCACTGGGTTTAATAACTCAGCACCACATAAAAATAAAAAAATATATAAAATAAAGGTATCATGTTCATCTACAACTTAAAAAAAATAACACTTCAGTTTTCTAGATTTCTAAGCACATGTAAGTCACTACAAATAAACTAAAAGACAATTATAATATACCACTACATAAGCTCATTTTTTAAAAAGTTCAAAAAACAATAATTGCTGATATTCTTTTTTTAACAAGTATGAATACAAAATGTATAGTTAGTAAACTCAGTGGGGTCAACTCTCTGTGTTTATGTGTTTTAAAGAGACAGGTTCTCACTGTTGCCCAGAATGGCCTCAGACTCCTGGGTTCAAGTGTTTTTCTTGCTTTAGACTTCCCTGAAGTCGGGAGTACAGGGAAAATCGTCACACCTGACTTTGTGCAGCATTTTAAAATGACATATTTTGTGTGAAAGGTTTCCATTTTGTTGTTATATTAGCCCTTGTACTGATTTTTCGCCCCCAAGGGTTGAATGTAGTTCAGTGATAAGCACTTGCCTAGCATGCTTAAGGTCATACGTTCAATCTGCAACACCATGACAGAAAAAAAAACATCCAGTAAACATTAAAAAGCTCAATAATGAAGCACAAAGAACTTCCATTTTTCTATTACTGGAAATAATATCATTACTATAACACTAAACTCTGTATGCCTTATTGTAGCTACTAGTGTAAATTAGCAGACTCTCTCTCTTGTCTTCAAGCAATCAAAATTATAAACTATAACTGTGTAAAATATCTATCCTTTGCACTGATTTCAATCTACTCCCAAATTGCAACGAGAAGATTTTTAGAATTTACTTTTTTCTCCTTAATTTCACTCTTGATATTGAGAGAGACAGAAATAGAGGAAGGCAAGGAAGAGAAAAATTAGGGAAAATGTTTGAATTCTTAGAGCAATTTGCAAGTATGGTTAAAAACCAAAATCACTTCAAAACTACTAGCATTAATGTATCTATATTTGCAATGGTTTGCTTACAAAACTAATACTGGTGTCTGGGAACGTAGTTCAATGGTAGATTCCTTGTCTACATGATTTCTAAGGCCCTGGAATGGATCCTAGGAAACATGAAAAAAAGATAGAAAACTACTACCATATAATCGATAATTGGCTAATTACTACTCAATTATTAACATATTAATGTTATATTAATACTACTAATTCAATATACTAAATAATTACCACTTAAATAGCTCTCTTTAAAAACATAATTCTTCAATTATTCCTTTTTTTCTGTTTGTCACTTACCATAGGTTTCTTTGTTGTTTTGTTTTCTGTGCTGAGGATCGAACTTACATGCATACAAACCATATACTAATACCACTGAGCTATAATCTAAGAAATTTCATAAGTTTTTCTTTTCCATGACTCATAACCCCATTAATAAAAAAGTTAGTAAATACTCCTAACATTTTTCTAGCATTTCCTGATACAGAGATAAATGTGTTGAAATATGAGGCTATTCAAAAGAATATTTTAACATTTTTATTTTAACTCAAAGAACACTTAATATTTCAATAAACGTGAGAAACTATTAAAAGGCAAACATTTTTCCTATTACAGAGTTTTTCCCATCTAGTTAGGTCTAAACAAATAACAAAAATAAATCCTTATTTTGTTTTTTAATACTGGGGACTGAACCCATTTCTCATTTATTCTAGTCAAGTACTCTATTGCTGAGTTAACATCCCCAAACCTTCAATTATATTTATTTTGAGATATGGTCTGGCTTAATCACTCAGGGTAGCCATGAACTTGGAATTCTCCTGCCTCAGCCTTCAAGTAGCTGGGATTACAGGTATGTGTTACCATAACTGAGTCTAAAATAAAAGATACTTGATGTAAAATATATACCTTATTTTTTTGTAAAAACTACCTAAGAAAATGTTTTATAAAGAAATGAATTATAAAAATTCATTACTAAAACTTTCATCATGCTAAACAATTTGATACAATAGGTTCCATATAATTAATGCTTTTTTAAAGAATTCATATGATTAAGAAAATGGGTGCTGTAGTGCACAAGTGTAATTCCAGGAGCTCAAGAAAGTGAGGCAGGAGGATCTTAAGTTCAAAGCCAGCCACAGCAACTTAATGAGGTCCAAAGCAATTTAGCAAGATCCTGTCTCAAAGTAAGTAAATAAAAAGGGCTGGGGATATGACTCAGTAGTTAACATCCCAGCATTCAATCCCTAGTACCAAAAATGAAACAAACAAAAAAACAAAAAAGAAATTGAATGCTGCCAGAATACTCTATAACTTTTCTAAATTTTCTTTATTTTTAGAATCACAATTTTATTTGGTGTTTTTTGATTCTGAGATACCAAAATTTAAAAGCACATTTTTATTTGTACCCAAGACAGACATTTAAAAACAGAATTTCCTCAATAATTTCCATATTTTTTTCCTTTGAAAAGTATTTATTTTTTCAAATCAAACCTCTACATAGTTATTTTTGGTATTATCTGTGTTTTCTATCCAGAAACTCATGAATGATGAGAACTAAGCAAAAAGTAACATTAGTACTATAGTAAAAAGAAAAATAATACATTTGTATAAAATGACATTTTAAATTGCTATGAATATCTTGACTCTTTTTCTCCAAAAACAGTAATTAATTTCTACATGCTCACTGCTTTATTTTCTTCTTCCAATCACATCATACTGTATCAAACTACCCTATAGAGGCATCCATTTCTGTGTACACCCTATCTTTCCTTAACTATAGGTTTTTAAGAAGTGTGCTATCAAAATCATTATACTTGCTATCAAAATCATCATCAGTTTTATCACTCTCTCAGATATATCTAAATGACCTTCCTTCTGATTTAACACTGACTGGATCTTGCTATTGTTTTGAACCTTTAAATGAAGTAAATAAAAAAAGAAAGAAAATACTTCATAATGGGCATTAAAGAACTTCAGGGGGGGGAAATGGAACCAACACCAGTTTTGTGAAACTATACCAACAGTTTAGTCTGTTTTCAATATCTCTCATCAAAATTATACTTTCTTCTTTACTAATATTTAAAAATTAAATAGTATTTCATCATAAAATAATTCAGTAGTACATTAACTTTCTTTATCTGAGTACATTTCAGTAATCTATTTTTTATAATCAGATCTAGGAAATTTTATTTCAAATATACTTAATTTTTTTATATTCTTAACCTCACCACATTTTGTAAGTGAAATAACTTTACGCTGGCAAGATGCCAAATGTTTTAACAGGCAATTAGCAGAACAGAGCACCATTTACTGGTTTTTAGTTTTTATTCAAGGATACTTAAAAGAGAAACATGATAACAATTTCACTCTGAGACTGGTAATAAACTTTAATGGACTCAGACCACTCTAAGAAGAGTAGAGCAGCACCTCCACTGAACATTCTAATATCAAACCCTCACTAAGTCCAAAGAAAGTAATATAAACTAATATATCCTTAAAAAGTAAAATGAACCTTAGAGCAGATTTATTTAAGAAGGTGTACCTGCAAAGGCAAAAATTATATTTTCTCATTTTTCTAGCTCTAAACAAAATGTTTGATTATTCAATGATTTGCTTTAAAACAACGCAGTAATATAAAAAAATCTCCTAATAAACTGTTCAAATGACAAATTTTTTAAAACTTGAAAAGCTAATTTCAGCAATTTAATTTATAAATGTTAAAAAAAGATTTAATCTAGCATCAAACTCAACATTCCCCTTTTTTAAAAGCATGACTGTTTCTTACTATTTAATTTTTTATGAATCAGCTAACAACCTGATATAAATATGTACTTTAAAAGGAAAACTCAGCACGTTAGTATAGAACAAAGCTTAATTACCTTGATTTGGTTGCATATTCATATTTGGTCGAGGGCCATAGTTTCCCATTGGCTGCCCTTGACTCATTGTCATCTGATTCTGTACTGGCATGCTCTGTGATGATGGCACAGAATGGTTGTAACCTCCCATGGATCCATTGGCTACTTGAAGGCATATTCATGGAACTGTTTGTCATATTGAGTTGATTGGGTCCAGGTCCCTGCATAGGCATATGGTTAGGCCCTTTGAAGAAAAATGATCAGAACCAAAATATTGAAAGTTAAAGAGATGGTTTATACAAAAGTACCTAAAATAGCTATTTGTAGGTTTTTTTCATCATTGTAGTCATAACACTAAACAATAATTTGAATATTTAATAGCAAACAAATCGCTCATATGAATGATAGAAAACACTGTGAATATTCTTATTATTCCCATCTTAGAGATTAAGAAACTGATGTATTAGGAAAGCCAAGAATACTCTGAAAAAGAAGAGTAATAAGGGTAAACTAGCTTTATGAGACAGCAAAACATAAAGCTGGAGTAATTAAAGATGTAGTACTAACTAATGAATGAATAGATTAACAGATCAATCAACCAGAATAGGATCTAAAATATACCCAAATACATAGTAAGGTAAGTGATAATAGTAGTGATATTAAGTTATCAGTGGGCAGCAAAAAAATTAATTCAGTAAATGGTATTGTGGCAATGGTGTAGTCATCTGGAAAAAAAATTAGCTGGATCACCTCATTTCTCCCAATAAAACTAATCTACTATGTATAAAAATTTTAAACATTAAAAAAGAAGAAAAAAGAAACAATATTACAGAATCTCAAAAAGGAGAAACTTTAAAATAATCTTGGGAGGAAAATGCTTTCTAGAAATTCCACACCTTTAAAAACAAAAATTGATAAAACAGTGCTGTACACCTATAATCCCAGGGGCTCAGGAGGCTGAAACAGGAAGATTCACAAGTTAAAAGCCAGCCTCACCAATTTAGCAAGGCCCTAAGCAACTTAGCAAGACCTTGTTTCAAGATAATAAATAAAAAGGGCTGGGGATATGGCTCAGTGAAGTGATTAAACACCTCTGGGTTTAATCCCTGATACCAAAAACAATTAAAATATAAAATTTGATCATTGTATTATCATGTATAACTAATTAAAACAAATAAAAAAAGGGGGAGATGAAAGACATGAATAAAAAGCTCAAAGAAACCTAAAAATGAATTCATAAACAAGGAATGACTGATTGCTTTACTTAAAAAAACTAAAATACAATTTTCACCTTAGATTCTCAAAAATCAACTTTAATAAACCTATATTTTAAAGAAAGAAGCACTTTCAGATACTACCCAGAGAAAAAAATGTAAATAAGTATTATTTTTTATAGAGGAACTTCACAATAAGGTTATCAATTTTTTAAATGTACATACTTTGAACCCAGCAATTTCAGTTCTAAGAATTTATTCTATATAAATATTTGGTACAAGTATGTAAAAAAGTATGTGTTTTATAAATATATTCATGGCAGCGCAACTTTATCAACATACAAGAAACAACATTTATTTCTATCAAAAGGAAAACGGTTCAGATAAGTTAGGGTATATCCATAAAAAACAAACACAAAAACAAAAAATACATGATGCAGTAACCAAAAAGAATGAGGCAGCTCTTTACACACTGAATAGAGTAATGGTTTCTATGATAAATCTTTAAGAGGGAAAGAAGACATATAAGACTATTCAATGTGCTACGGTTTGTTTTTTTAAAAAGAATAGTACAAAAAAAAAAAAGAAAAATTTTTGGGGGGTAGAGACAAAGAAAGAAAAACCGCTTTGAAGGGTAACCAATGCCTCTCTGGAACTCAGTTTGGAGAGGTAAGGGCTATAAACCTTGGTACTTTTTTATTTTGGCTACATGATCATGTATTATCTAGGGGTTTTTTGTTTGTTTTGTTTTGTTATCAGGAATTTAACCCAGGGGTGCTCAAGCACTGAGCCACATTCCCACACCCCCCCTTTTTTTTTAAACAAGGCCTCGCTAAGTTCCTGAGGCTTGCTTTGAACTTGTGATCCTCCTGCCTCAGCTTCCCCAGCTGTTGGGATTATGGGCATGTGCCATCATGCCCAGCCTAGTTTTGATTTTTTAATCAATATTTTTTTAAAAAGGAACTGGGACTGAGAGGTTCTGTTGCCAAAATCAAATTGCATAAGTATCTCTAAAACTTAAATTATCAAATAACCTATTAGAACTAAAATAGGAAACTAAGAGCCAAGTTAAAATTAGTGTTCACATTAAAAAGGGTGACTAGATGCTATTATTGTTAGGAGAGTCCCCTAACTATTATTTTAGATGCTCTACAATACAAGTCTTAAATGGTTGATAATCTCTGGGTTATGGAAAGAATGTAACTATTTCAGATAGCCTTACGCCAAAAAAAAAAAAAATGTCAGGATAATATTAATTGTGCACTTCTCAAATGCTTACTTGGTCTTGGGCTTCAGTGTTATCTGGAGATATGTTATATACCTAATATAATTACACATACCTTTATGTTGTATACCTGATCGAAGGTACTACCATCAAAGATCACAGAATTCCTAACTAATCTGTATTAGCACTGCTCTTATAGTTCTAAAAACAATGTGTCCCAATAAGCTAAATGTGGATTTAGCAAACAGCTTTCTCCTGACTACAACCTAACTGCAAACTAAAAAGTAGTTCTGTCTTTATTCCTACCTCCATACTATGTGGGAGCCATCAATGCTGAGAGTCTTAGCAGGAAATAAGAGAGCCAATGAAATAGCATTTACCTCCTACATGATTAGTGTCACATCAATCTTCTAAACTAGGCTACCTTGCCTCTTTTGCTCTGTGTTCCCCCTTTGTTTCTTTTACAATATCTGTTGTCCTTGGAACCAATGTTACCAACAACACAATCAGCTGGAAAAGATACTATCGTAAGGATGCTAATTATTAACTTTAACAATAAACTGTTCTATGATTTAAATTTACTATCCTTATTGCTAGACATGTTCGTTTGCTTTTTTCTACTGAAAATAGTCTTTGTCTTTAGAAAACAAAAATATTCTCGTATTAAAGGTAGAGAATACTCTGCCAAAAATGATACTTATCATCATTACTATTGTTACACAAACTGAAGATATTTTCAGCAAATGATAACTAAATAAGCACCAATGGCCTAAAAGACACCATTCTAGTGACTCTAAAGTTAAATGGACAAAGAGAAACAAGAATGGCAAAATATATGAGAAAGCTTACACTATTTCTTAGCTTTTAATTTTGCTTTAAAATCAATTTCCATATTTGTTATGCTAAAAAATATGTATTCATAAAAATCCTGATTCAGCATCAGTAATATCTATGAAGAAATACTAAATACACCAGCACTTTAGAGTTTGTTTTTGTTTGTTTCTTTTTCCCATGTGTTTTTCTCAGTGATACTGCTTCAGAGATCAATAAATTTTTAAGTAAATAAAAACTCAGGGATGTTAGAATACCTTTTTGTAAACATATTTTATTTCTTAAGCCATGGTACAATGACTTTTTCCCCCAAAAAAAGCTTCTAAAGCCAACTATGTTGCATAGTTTCAGACAGACTAAATTTAGCCAGTTCTGTTCATCAGAGGAATGCTGTGTGTCAGCTACATCAAAGCCCAAGGGCAGCCTGATAAACACTGAATACAGGTCACGTAGCTCTGTAGCTAACAAACTCTAAGAGAGCTTGTACTCGGGGGCATTCAAAGCAGTTTTGTCATCAACAATCTAGTATCCCTTGAGCCCCCATGTCGTTTCAGTTGCTAAGCAACTCTGGTGTTAATGTCTTAGAGGAGAAAAACTTACCAGGCATCTGGCCGTTCATCTGGTTCTGCATGTGTGGTGCAGGAGGACCCCCACCTACCATTCCATCTGAAGGCATGTTGTGAGAGCGTGGAGGTGGGGGAGGGCCGCTCTGATTCATCACTCCAGGACCCATAGGCATATTCTGTGTGGGTGGCTGAAAGAAGACAGTTTAGCAAACCAAGAGAAACAGTTATACCAATGTATAAAAGATGCATATGGAATAACAGTTGACTATATTATTAAATTGGACAAACAAAACAACAAATGCATTTCAATTTCTTCTAATGTATTTTAATCATGGACTTATAAATATCATATATAATACCCCCCAAAACTTCACAAGATGCTTAGCATTTGAACACCCTAGGACAAAAACAGACCACAATTAAAGTGTATTTTAATTTATAAAATCTCAATGGCAAAAAGGTTAACATTCTATACAAACCGAATTCTCATTCATTTATTTACTAAGGATTTCTAATGTAGCTATTGTTATTTAAATAACATTAAAAATTAATTCTCCTTTCATTACATATTTGAATATATTTACTAATCATTATTTTTACTTGAAAAGGGAGAATAATAAAAAATATAAAAGGACCAGAGGTCCAAAAATATGACATATTTTATACTGTTTGAGGTGCAGAAAGAAAAGTGGTGGCAAAGGAATAATGTTTTAAAACACAAAGATAATAGTTCAGTTCAATATTTTTGTGTCGACTACTGCTATAGATTGGAAACATTACTGATGGCCTCCAAGGGTACAGAGACAGCTGCCTCAAAAGGATGCCTTTGGCAAATTTCCTAATGAAATTTTCAAGAAAACCACTGACTAACCTTGAGAGTTCAAAAAAGGGCAAAAGGAAAAACATAGATACAAGACAGTCTGCAACACAGGGCTCCCATCTTGGGAACATTTTGGTGGAGAAAGCAAATGGTTAGTTTCTTTCCAAATATCTATTTTTAACCCTACAGGTTAGAAGGACTTATTCTTTACAGATCTACTTTCTGTCTTTTTTCTCTGCTTCCCCATGATCTGAACATAATGTCCAATCCAGTAACTTCCTCCCACATTTTTTATTTTTGCTTTATTTTTAAAATTTTTTCCACAATATTTGTTGATCAGTTATTTACTATATACCTTTCCAGATTTTGTCAGCACAGTTGCCTCTGAAACACTTAACAGATATATATGTTATTCTTTAGCCAACACATACACTCAAACCTCCAATCACTTAATGAATAGCTAATAGTGTAGAAATAACAAGTGCTGGGCTTGGTCTGTAGCTCAGTGACAGAACCCTTGCCTAGCATGTGTGAAGCACAGGGTTCAATGCTTAGCACCACATAAAAATAAACAAATAAAACAAACGCATGCTGTCCATCTACAATTTTAAAAAAACTATTTTTTAAAACAGAAATAGCAGGTACTACTCTGATAGCACCTACAAAAGTTAGAATTTTAATTTCATCACTACTAAATCCAGATAATTGGCGTTTATTAAGTATTTTCTTTTCAGCTCTCATCTTAATTTTTTTATCCAACTTGTATCTTAAAACACTTAATAACCTTGTTTAGTTTTCAGGCACATACAAAAACCAAACATCAAGTCTATTACATATCTTACTTTTAATTATCCTTTACTTATCATGCTTTCAAACCTGGTTAATTATTTGTATTTCAACTCATAAAACATCACTAGTTGTTATTTACCATCCTAAGAGTAATAACTAACCCTTCTGCTAATAAAAGTGATAAAATCCTGACAAAATGCAAAAAAAACCTGTCTAAAAGCACTAAAGCACTACGTAACCAAAGAGGAACAGAAGCTACACTTCTTGAAAAGGGGGAAGAATGTTAAAAGACCAGCTCCCCAATTTCTTCGGCTTTTTCTGTGAGTGTGCAGTGTATGGAGTAAAAAGTGCCTAAACACAAAGCAGAAATTCTTCTGGATTAAGGGGGGAATGAGTCAGTTTTTTAAAAATCGGCAGAAAATTAAAGAATAAAGTCCCCAAAAAAGGAAAACTGCAGAAAGCGAAAAATTCAAGACAACTACTAGAAAACAGCAGTTAGGAGGCCAAAGAGCCAAGCAGATTCCAGCTACTGCCTACTACTAGGTATATAAAAGATTGGAGTACCCATCCAGTTAGAGGGGACTTCATAAACAACTCCAGCTCTCCATATTTCAGAAGAGCCTCACCTCAGACTAAGGTCAAAACTGAAATAGATTACCCCTTTAAATCTTTTAATGAACCCTCAATACTCAAGGTGATCTCCTAGTACTTCTCATACCAAAGGAAAACTTAATTTTCTTTAGAAGAAAAGAACACAATCTTTGACTTTCTAGAATTGTTATGTTTGCCCTTTTTCTTAAATACTGGGATGGATCCCAGGGGTTCTCTACCACTGAGCTCATCCTCAATCTTTTTTTTAAAAAATTTTTTTGAGACACAATCTGACTAAATTGCCCAGGCTGGCCTCAAACTTGCAATCCTCCTCCATAGCCTCCCAACTAACTGGGATTTCAGGTATGCCATCCTATCTAGACACAATGTCTGACATTTTATCATAAATCACAGGCATTTTAAAAACCATCATAAATGGCCAACACCCAATAGGATGGCTATAATAATAATAACTACCCAAATGGTAGGTGTTGGCTAAAATGTAGAGAAACAGGAATTCTCATTTATGCTAGGAAAAGTGTAAAACGGTATAGTCACTTTGGAAAACAGTTTGGCAGTTCCTCAAGAAGTTAAATGTATGTCTACCATATCATCTAGCAATTCCATTCCTGGTATTTATTCAAGAGAAATAAAACACATTCAGACAAAAGTTGTATACAAACATTCACTATGGCATAATTCACAATAGTCAAAAGATGGGAAAAAAACGCAGATGTCCACCAACTGAGGAATGGCTAAACAAAATGTGGTTCATGAATACAATAGAGTACTATTCATTCACAGAAAAGGAATGAAGTACTGACGCACGTTATAATATGGATAAACTTGAAAATATTCCAAGTGGGAGGAGCTGGACACAAAAGGGGCCACATGTTGTATGACTACATTTATATTAAATGTCCAGAATAAGTAAGAGAAAGAGAGAAAAGATTAGCTGTTGCCACAGTATGGGGAGAAAGGGGAAGTGGGACTGACTGACATCATATATGAGTTGTATTTTCAGGGGTGATGGAAGTGCTCTGAACTTAAGACTGCACTGTGAATATACTAACAACAAACACTGAATTATACACCTTAAAATGGCTAAAATGATGAAAGTTATGCTTCATAAATTTAATCTTAAGATAAAACTGGAGAATGGATAGTGCACACCTGTAATTCCAGCTATTTGACAGCCTGAGGCAGAAGAATGGCAAGTTTGAAGCCAGCCTCAACAACATGACAAGATCCTATCTCAAAATAAAAAAATAGGGCTGTGGCTGTGGCTCAGCAGTAGCACACTTGCCTGGCATGTGTGAGGCACTGGGTTCAATTCTCAGCACCACATATGAATAAATAAAATAAAGGTCTATCAACAATTAAAGAAATATTTTTTAAATAAATAAATAAACAAATAAATAAATAAATGAAAGACTGGGGAATGTAACTCAGTAGTAAAGCATCCCAAGTTCAACCTCCAGTACAAAAAACAAATTAATTAATTTTATTACATTTTAAAAGAATGAGTAACTAAAGGAAGTAACAAATAATTTTAAAAGACCAAATTCATTCAAATTTTGGAGTTACAGAGAATTTGAAATACCTGTGCTTGATATTTTCAAAGGTGAGGGGACAGGAAAGATGTAGAACTTTAGTAAACTCCTAGAATTTTTTAAAGGCCATCAAATATAAATCTAGAACTGGAAAATACAATCACTGAAGTGAAAATCAGCATGTCTGTCAACGGATGAATGGATAAAGAAAATGTGGTACATATACACAATAATGGAGTTTTATTCATCGATGAACAGAGACTTGGGTCTTTTGCAGGAGAATAGAATTTAAGAACTTATGCTAAGCAAAATAAGGTAAACTCAGAAAGTCAAGGATCCTATATTTTCTCTTATATGTGGAAGCTAAACAGAAAAAAGGAAAAGAAAAGTAGTAGGGGGTAGGTCTAATGAAAATTGAAAGATCTATAGAGTAGAGAAAGGTTAGGTAGGAGAGAAGCAAACAGGGAAATTCTAGGGAATGATCAGGATAAATTACTTTGTTACATTGTGCGCTGGTAAAAAATACTTAACAACAAATCCCACCATTATGTACAACTAATGCACCAATTTTGAAAAAAATGGGGAAAAAAAAGAAATCAATGGTTGGAAACAGCAAAACAGAGGATCAGAGAAGAAACTTACAGAAAAATTATACAAAGATATAAAAGAGAGAATATAAAAAAAGAACATAAAGACACAGAAAACATAATAAAAAGGTCTAGCACACTCCTAACTGGAGTTATAACAAAGACGATACAGAATAAAACACAACACTATTTGCAAAATACTGTAAGAATTTTCCAAAGCTAAAACAGAAAGAAAGAAGCCTCTAGCTTATGAACTATGAAGCTCTACAAATCAAAGGAGAATATAAAGAAAACCCTAACTTAAACACATCACAGTCAAAGTACTGAAAACCAAAGTCAAAAGAAAAAAGTTAAAAATCATTCAAGGAAAATGGAGCAGCAATAAGACTAGCATTGAATTTTTTTCTATCAGAAATAATGGAAACAGATGATTATAAAATGACAACTCTAAAGAGCTAAGACAAAGAAAAAAGAAAACAAACCAATCAGTTTAGAATTCTATATTGAAGAAAATATCCCTTCTGACATGGAAATGAAATAAAAATATTTTTTAATGAACAAAAGCTAAAAGAATTTGTTATATGAAATGACTTTACATAGAAGCACAGACTAGAGGAGTTATGAGAAAAGGTAAATATATAGATGAGTATAAACTAATATTGACATTTAAAATAACAGTTAATGATGACTTGTATGATTTAAACATATATAAAACTACGAATATAGGGTAAAATTAACACAAAAGACAGTAGGTTAAATGAAGTTAAATTGCTAAGGATCTTTCCTTTTTTTCTGCAAGTTTTAAAAGTATAGATCTACACTAGAATCTAAAAAATTAGTGATGAATA